CACTAGGTCTCTAGCTGTCCCACAGATGTTCCCTGATTCCAGTTGTCTCTCTCAGTACTCTCTCCTGCTCCTTCCACCTGATCCCTCCTATTAATCATCAGAGGGGCTTTCACATAGCAATTTGATGGATATAGATGCAGAGAGCTACAGCAAAACATGAGGCAGACCTGAAGGAATCTTGTGGAAGAGGGGGAGGAATGATGTGGGAGTCAGAGGAGTCAAGGACATCACAAGAAAACTCACAAAAACAACTAACCTGGTCTCATAGGGGCTCACAGAAACTGAACTGACAACTAGGGAGATTGCATGGGACTGACCTAGGACCTCTGCATGTATGTTATAGTTGTGCACCTTGGTCTTGTGGAACTCGTAACAGTGAGAGTAGGGGCAGTCTCTGACTCTTTTCCCAGCTTTGGGACCCTACTCCTCATCCTGGGTTGCCTCATACAGCCTTAACAGGCGAGGAAGTGCCTAGTCTCACTACAACTTGATATGCCATGGCTGGTTGATACACATGGGAGATCTGTCCTTCTTTGAAGAGAAAGGAGGAGTAGTGGATAGGGGGGTGAGAAGGGAGGTGGGGAGATGGACTGAGAGGAGAGGGGGGAGGGAGAGGAAACTGATCTGGCTGGAGAAAATAGTTAATTAAAAACCCAACTTACCATTTTTGCCACACCAACTTCTACACATTAACCTTAACGTAGTGAGATAAACAAGTACTTGATTTTATTACAGATGATCACAGTTACATAATTGAAGAAGGACAGACAAATAGTACTTTTTCATAGTCATTGTATGGAAATAACCTTCTAGAATTTGTGTATCTATCGCCAAACTGTGGCTCCCTCCTTTTTAATTTTGGAGTTTTTGAAACAGTCTTACTCTGTATCTCAGAAAAGCCAGAAACTGACTATATAGCAAAGGATGGCCTTGATCATGTGGCAATCCTCCTGCCTCAGTCTCGCAAGTGCTAAGGTTACAGGCATAAGCCACTACACCTGGCTTGTAAATCCCTTTGTATCAAGATATAGCTGTTGGTTATTTTATGACATAAATATTTTACCAGAACACTTGAAAGAAAATAATTCCATCCAGTTCCTTTCTTCTGACACACACATACACACACACACACACACACACACACACACACACACACACACACACACACAAAATGTGTTGGGGAAATCCTCTTATTTGTGAATCCCAGAGATGTAGCGTAGGTCATCAAACTTGGCATCAAGCACTCTTGCCTGCTGAGCCTTATTTTCTGCACCTAGTTTCCTTTATTACTTTCTTATAATGAACTCTTGGAGAATGAAGATTTTGTATTTAAAATACAGTCTTTTGCCGGGCGGTGGTGGCGGTGCACGCCTTTAATCTCTGTGAGTTCGAGGCCAGCCTGGGCTACAGAGTGAGTTCCAGGAAAGGCGCAAAGCTACGCAGAGAAACCCTGTCTCAAAAAACAAAAACAAACAAAATACAGTCTTTTATTTTCAGCTTTTTCTTTCTCTTGAAATAATGAAAGCATGAATGGTGGAAAATGTAAATGCAGCGTAGAGTGTTTAAATATTGCCACAGCAGCACAAATCCTGTTAAATTACCTTAATGTAAAATTAATAACTTGGCCTTTTGGTGTTCTTGGGCTTTGTAGACATTGAGGGCAGATTACTTACTCAAGCAGTGGCGCTACAGAGTGAGTTCCAGGAAAGGCGCAAAGCTACACAGAGAAACCCTGTCTCAAAAAAAAAAAAAAAAAAAAAAAAAAAAAAGACTACAAGCCAGTCACATGTTTGACTTGAATTGGAGCCCAAGAAATTTGGTATCTCTTTCTCAAACTAACCCCCCCCCTCTCTCTCTCTCTCTCTCTCTCACACACACACACACACACACACACACACACACACACACACACACACACACACACTTTCTACCATGGGTATGTGTTATGTCAAGTCCTAGAAATAGCACCAAAAAGGTTTTTCCCTAGCTCCTTTGTTCTCATTGGAAGGAAAGTGCTCCTCAGTTGTGACTTGTGCATACTAGTGGTTTAATTTAAATTGTTTGTGTACATTGAATATTTACATTCTTTGTGTTGTTAGAGAACTGGTTGCAGTGTCCAGCAGTGAACATATGCTCAGGATATCATAATGTGAAACATACCAATAAACACCTGAAGACCAATGTGTGGTGAACTAGTAAATTAGCAATGATGCTGATAGATATTTCTACTGAGGTTTTTTTTGTTTCTAGAGCCAGTGGCCAACTTCTTGATATCATAGGTCATTCTTCCAAATCTGACAGTAGTGCAGTTTTGTGAGTTTCTGGCTGTGTTTTGAAAGCATGAGCTAGCCTCATATATTGTACTGGTATCAGATCAGTCTAATCTGAGATTTTTGAGTTTGTGGGAAATGAGATAAAAGCTCTTACATTTTCATAACTTTGAAAAGTAGTTATCATTGTAGTCTTTTATTCTAGTTTAAGGATAGCTGGGAAGAGAAATGTCACTGTAGTGAAGTTTACTTTCAGCTGTGTAGAATACTCACATAGTGGCTTTTGGAGAATGAATACTCTCTTAGTATAAGATATCCAGAGGAAGCTTCAACAGCTGTGAGTAATGAGATGGGAAGAAGAAGAGGATTTAAGTTTAGAATGTGCTGTAGAAGTGACAGTGCTTAGACAGCGGAGCTCACCTCTCCATCCGCATAGATGGTCCTAGGTCTTTGCTTACCACACTCAGTGAGCTTTAAAAAGTTTCCTTTATTTGGGAATGAAATGTATGTAAAACTTCAAGGAAATAATTGAAAAATGCAGGCACAATTTCATAAGCACACCTGTTTTTTATTCTGTTTCGTTTTTTTGTTTTTTTTTTTTTTTTTTTTTTTTTTTTTTTTGGTTTTTTCGAGACAGGGTTTCCCTGTGTAGCTTTGCGCCTTTCCTGGAACTCACTTGGTAGCCCAGGCTGGCCTCGAACTCACAGAGATCCGCCTGGCTCTGCCTCCCAAGTGCTGGGATTAAAGGCGTGCGCCACCACCACCCGGCTCTGTTTCGTTTTTTAAAACAGGATCTCTCCATGCAGCCCTGGCTGGCTTGGAACTTATTATGTAGACCAGGCCAGCCTCAAGCTCAGATCAAACTGCCTCCCTGGTGCTGTGATTAAAGACCTGTGACGCTATGCCTGGTCCAGACTAGTCTTGAATACAAAGAGTAGAAATGCCAAGAGGATGCTAGAATATTTCCACTATCATTAGAAAGAAAAGACATTTGGGGAGGATATTGTTTCCCTCATAGCTCAGGCTGGCTGAAACTTGTACTCTCTTGTACTCTTTCATGCCTGGTCACACACACTGTGTGTGTGTGTGTGTGTGTGTGTGTGTGTGTTCTCGTGCATGCACACAGATTGATCTGGGATTGTAGAATCTGAATGTGGATGGGGAGTAATTCTTAGGTTATAGGTTCTGTTGAATGTTTAAACAAAATAAAGACCAATTAAGACTTGTAGAGGGAAAATTGCTTAAAGCCTTACTTAGCATGCACAGTACTTACTTTAGGGAACTTGAAGCCAGGCATGGTGGTTCACAGCTTTAGTCCCAGCACTCAGGAGGCAGAGGAAGGTGGATCCCTGAGTTCAAGGCCATCCTGGTCTACAGAGTGATTTCCAGGACAGCCAGGGCTATACAGAGAAACCCTGTCTTGAACTTCCTCATCTGCCACCCCTAAACCTAAAGAACTTGTTTTTATAGAACCATTTCCACTATGATTAATACAGTCATTCTTTCACTTTGATGCATATGTACTTTTATGTATGGATGGGCACAACTGCTTTATTGAGCATATAATACAAACTTCATTCTACATTACCAATTTTCAGTTTTTGGTTATTTGAGTATGGATTTAGCAGAAGTTTTCCTTGGTATTCATAAAGACGGCATGCTGAGCTAGCTAACAGCACAGGCAAGACTAAGGAGGAATATTAACTATTCAGGGGAAAACACAACTTCCAATGAACTCTTAAAAATACTTTCCGATGCAAATATTTGTACTGCTGACTGATACCATTAATTCAAATTTTCTCCAAATTACTTGGAAATTTCTAGTTTTCAGTCATGGAATATATCTGCTCCTTCTTGACTATTTTTGTAAAAATTGTTCTGGATTCTCAGGATTGACCCTGGCCCTTTGTGCATTCTAAGCATGTGCTATAACACAAAGCTATACTCCAGCCTCCCCATTGGGTTTGAGTAGAGAGAGCTAACTTGGGTAAAGTGGCAGAGCTGGCTACAGAAATCATTCTACCCTATATTTGATGGTTACAAAGTTGTTATTCTTCAACTTTTTTAACGAAGGGTGAAATGTATGTTGGTTCCTCAGTGCTAAGTAAAAGAATGTGGTCTCACTGGATTTGCAGTGAGGTAAATTTACTCGGAGTATCCCATGTATGAATTCCTCTACACATCAAGCAATAGTCATCTGTGCTCCTGTTTGCTTAGACATTTATTTTGGTTGTCATGTGAGATCATTCTGTGTATGTATATACCTATGATACTGTTCGGTATGCTTTTTTTAGCTATATCTTAAAAGTCTTCCAAACGTTTCATGATTTCCATTGGAAAGGTGAAATTAATCAGAATAGAATCTAATATTAAGGTGAAAAGTAGATTTAGTGTATAAGAATGGAGTTTGGGTTTTATATAAACATTTCTCTCATAACTGAAAGAACTTTTCCTTGGATTTTTTTAAATCATGGTCTTGCATTGTTAATCAAGTTTTCTGTTCTCTTGCAGCTATAGATTTCTTTCTAAAGATATTGGTTAATCACTAAAGGGCTAGACACCCAGAACATAAAGAATTTTTAGTATAGAACCAACATTAGAAATAGTCATTGTGTATAAAAAATAATATACTATTTCTTTGTCTCTTTAGGTAAACTTGAGAAGCAAATTGAAGCTACAAGATTGTTAGTAATTCAAGCTACGTGTATTTTATTTGCTAAGAAAAAAAGTATGGATCCCGTATTGATCCATGCTCAAGTCCAAATGTGGAGTGCAAAGGCAGGAATGTCTAAGTCAAGAACTGCATTCATTGAAACAGTAGTAGGAAAACGGGAAGTTAAACTCCTTCTTTATTTCATCACTGGGAGGATTAAAGCTTTGCAGCTAAAGAATAATATTAAAAGTGTGGTCCTTAAAACCTATGATGAAGACCAGAATTACTTACATTTAACTTTTAAAAACAACGATTTCTTGTTTGTTGAGAAACTAACCTCCACAGATGCCAGACAGCTGAAGAGATTCCTAGATAGAGTCTATGAAAGAAATCTCCGTACGTCCAGGAGAAGTCGTGGAGAGAGAGCTGATGGTCCTAGTACAAGCGCACACTCTTTACCACTGAAAGTTCGTTCAGAAGCCAGCAGTAAGTGCTTCGGATTGGGGGAAGAAAGTGGAGCGCCAGGGCTTTGTGAATCGCCTTTGTTTTCATCCTCATTAACCGCACTTGATAATGGAGGGTTATTAGAAAATCCGCTTGTAAAGAGGAAAAGATCCTCGCCCGATTCGGAAAATAATGGAAAAGAGAACTTCCTGGAGGAGAGTAATAATGAAATTGAGGCAAAGTCAGTGGTGTCTGTACACGATGATAGAGGGAAAGGAAGGGATTTAAGAGAGGCAGGACAGAGTCAACTAGGATTAGGATTTTCATCTGAGACCGATTATCCTGAGGAGCCTGATTTGGATGTTTGTGATCTTTATGATCTCATTAAAAAATTATTTTCACCATTTCTGTTAAGATCGTACTGTCTGGAGAAAGGCATGGAGTGGCACGAGCATATGAAGACACTCTTACTGTATCCAGAGAAAGCATGGCAAGGTCTGCCTAATGTGGGAAACACCTGTTACATAAACGTAGTATTGCAGTCTCTGTGCTCAATTCCAGTGTTTGTTAATGATTTGTTCAATCAGGGTTTCCCATGGATCAAACCTCCAAGAGATGATTTTAACATGCCCTTGATGCAACTGCTTGTTTTGAAAGATATTTACAGCATGAAAACAAGGGAGAAGTTACTTATCAAGATTACAAAAGCCCTCCCACAATTTGGAGAGGTATTCACTGCTGACAGGCAGAGCGATGCTCATGAGTTTTTAAGTCTCTGTTTAGTTCAGTTGAAGGAAACTGTACAAAAGTTAACCATATTGTGGCAATCTGAGAATGAATCTGGGGGAAATAATTTACTTACACAGATTTTTGCTGACCATGCTATTACCAACAAAATACCTGTTTGTCCTGTTGCTAATAATTTTGAATTTGAGTTGTTGAGATCTATTTTTTGTAAAGGTTGTGGCCTGGCTGTTCTCAGGAAAGAACCGAGTAGTTACCTCTCCATCAACATTCCTCAAGGATTGAAAGGCCACAACTTGTCTATCCAGTCCAGTTTTGATCTTTTTTTTAAAGCAGAAGAACTTGACCATAGATGCGAGAGGTGTATGCACAACAAATCTATTGCATTGCACAAGTTTTCCCAACTACCCAGGGTTATTATTATTCATCTGAAGCGCTATAGCTTTAATGAGTCATGGGTAATGAAGAAGGATGAACAGAACATCATTATTTCCAAATTTTTAAAGCTGTCCTGTCACTGCAACAAAAACACAAAACCACCTCAGCCTCTTCATGAAAATGAACTTGTTAAGGATCTTGACTTACTAAAACCTCTTCATGAGTTGGGTTCTGAAATATTCAAATCGTCATTTAATTCAATGATGACCTCACAATTCAAGGATTTCCCAACTGCAAGCGTCAGATCAACCAAGGAGTCGGAACCACAAAATATAAAAGACTCTGAAGTACTGAATGGAGAAGTGCAGCAGGAAGGTCAGGGAAAGGGTGCCACAGCAAGTGTAATTAGGTCAGAGTTGACAAATGAGACAGAAAAACTCAAGAATCCCGAGAAAGCACGTAAATTTAGTAAGCTAGATTCTGGTAGCATCAGCAAGGGTACTAAAGATAATGCCCTCAAATTTACAGAAAGACCCCCAAAGTACCAACAGGCCCAGAAATGTTATAAAGAGAGAAGTGATAAACGGACCTCCCGGGAGGCAGTTACTCAAAGACGTAAACCAAGGTCCCTGGAACAGACAGAGAACCTCAGAAAACCTGCAGAGTCCCAGAATGGCAGTCTGAATTCACAGGGCTCACTAGGTTCCAGCAAGAAGCCAGGAAACAAAGATGTTTTAGATAAGAAGACAAAGCCTACAGGCAAGGTGGACCCACAAAAGGCTACTGGAAGTGAGGGAAATGGTTACAGGCTCATTAATATTATCAGCCATATTGGGAGCAGTCTCCATGGAGGCCACTATATCAATGATACCTTTGACTTCAGGAAGCGGGTTTGGTTTACTTACAGCGATCCACAGGTGACAAGTACACAAGAGGACTTTGTGCTTAAGGCTAGGCTTTCCACTGGGTATGTCTTCTTCTACATGCAAAATGAGATCTTTGAAGAGCTTTTGGCAAAGGAAACTCAGTCTCGCAACACGTCACAGTAATAATAGAAGGGACAGCATATATCTACCTGAATGCCTCACTCACTTAAACTGGATCGAGAAGGACAGATAATTAGCTTAGGACCAGTATCTCAACAAACATTTACAGAGAAATCGCCTTTCTAACTCTGACAGTGTCAATCCCATAGTTACAGCTGATACTAATGAGTGTTCTTCTCATACAAGACTGGAACTGGAACTATGTCTTTTGTATACTTTTTTGTCAGAAAATAGATTTATTATTGATAGTGAAGTTTTCAGTATTTACTACGGAAGTTGCATAACCCAAGGTTGCCTTTATATTGATAAAAAGACCTAATTCTACTTGCAATCATAAACATTATTCCAGTAATAGAGGTACATTTTCTCTCATCTTGGTCTTCCTTCTTGCATGATCATCATAATAAGTTATAATGAAAAAGCTCTTACATAATCAGAAGAATAAAGCTCACATCCATACAGCCAACAGTTCAGGCGAGTCTACCTAGCACTGTTACCCCAGCCCGCTGCTTTATCTTGCTGTCTCTCCATTTGGAATGGTTTAGTGTCCCTCTCCCCTCCCAGCTTTCTTACAGTGGAGATCACTAAATGGTGGAGCCCAGAATAAAGGGAGAAGAGAACACTTTATGTCCACAGAAGTTGGATAGCTCTGGATAACCGCTTGTTGACTGCAGCCCTTTCTAGTTCTAGATCCCTGGCTTCCTTAAGGCATCTGGTTTCCTTGGCTCTAGTGCCATGTCTTCAGCTACTCTTTTCAACTCTTCATCAGAAACAGAAGCACCATTCACAATACTGCTGAGATTTTGAGCCAGAGGGAGAGGATTCCATCATTTGGTCAATTATATTTTCTGAAAGCTGGATGGATTCCTTCACAATGGATTCCTTTTCTCATTTGCCTCAAAGGTGCTGCTCTGGCTTCTGTCCCCACAAAGTCTGAGCATGGACCTGCAAGCACATCAGGGCCCTCCCTAATGGAAGCCTAGACTCCTCCCTTGCCCACCAGGAGCAAGGCTACGACTTCTACCTTTTATATTCTGATGCAGTGTTTTAAGAGTGTGACCCGATCAACACCACCAGGAAGACATGACATCATGGGATATGTGGACTCTTCTGCAGACCTACTAATCCCCAAGTTTAGGACAGAGGGCAGCAATCCAATGGAGATTCTAATGTTCAATTAGCTTTAGGGTCACTGCTTTTGTATATATAATTTCTTTTGCTGTTATGTTACATATTTGAGTTGCTTGTTACATAGAAAGTTTTTATAGCCTTTTTATTTCTTTTATATGTGTTTTTCCTATGAAAACACAGAAATACTCTTGCTAGTCATTGATTTGGTTCTGTACTGGGTCATGCCAACTGTTTTCAACTAAATCCTGGCAATAAGCACTAAATGTGGTTGATAAACTTTTGAATCCTCTTGGACATGTGTAGATGATACTGGACATCAAACAAGTCTTCACATTAGCCGCTAAAGCTCCCCTTTTCCTTAGTGGCAAAGGTGCTGGATATTCTCAGACTTTGATCTTGAGGATGGGGAAGCTAATTTGTGCTCAAGGAATTGGCATGTTTTTCTATTTGTCACCTAGCGAGTAACCTGCTGGATTTTGGTGATCTGAGCCTACTTCAGAAGGGCCTATTGAGTCACATCAAAGGAGTTTTCTTCACCAGGACTTGATCTGCAAAACTGAACAGTTTTGAGCATTCAACATTAGAAGAGGAATTATGGATTTCTTTTTCATCTTTTTAGCATGGTATTCTGTTCCTTGAATTAATACACAATACCTGGTTTAAAGTGAACTTATAAGACCTGAAAAATCTTACTTAAGTAACAAGCTTTGATAAACGTGAAAAAATGTCTCTGGAGATGATTTGCAGTGTGGGGAAAGCCACATGCATCCTAGGTGTGGTGATATTCTGTAAACTCAGTAATCAGACTTAATACTGCTAATGCTAAGCATGTGTTCTCTGGAATGTCTTCTCTTGCCTTTGAAGCAATGAGTATAACTTCTTATACCTGTATTGGAGTAAATGACTTGATTGTATAGTATGTTTTATTACATACACAGAAAAATGGGTTTTCAGTCCTACCTTTGCCAATATGCATTTACCACTAGTATATGGGGTAGTTTCAGTATAGTGGTATTAAATCCATTTTATTGAGAGGTTTTTTTCCCCCTTTTTTCTTTTTTTGAATTCAGAGATGTACTTGCTTATGCTTCCTAAGCGCTAAGATTAAAGGCATAGGCCACCGTGTCTGGCTTTGTTAGTGTTATTTCTAGTGGCCTTTAATGGAGTGAATTCAAATTTAGTGCTACTAGGGAAGTTAGATAATGCCCTTTTGTTCATGTATATGAGTGCTCTATCTTCATGTATGTCCGCATATCAGAAGAGGGCATGAAATCTCACTATATTTGGTTGTGAGCCACCATGTAGGTGCTGGGAATTGAACTAAGGACTTGTGGATGCACATCCAGTGCTTTTAACTGATGAGCCATCTCTTCAGACCTAGACAGTGACATTAAGGAGAAAACAGATTTAAAGGCCTGAGATTCTCTTCCTTTGGGTAGTGTAGAACCTAGTAGGAAGTCTAGATGAGGCCTGAAATTTGCTGAAATGTGTGGGTAGCAGGAGTCTTTTAGATTGAATTGCTTTCAGACATAAAGCTGTTACAGACAGAATGAGGAATTGTTCAATTTCTCTGATACTGAGACAGTTGAGGATAATGTTGGGAGTTCATGTAGAGACTGAAACTCCCAAGAGTTGGGCTTCTGAATTCCAGTCTATTGGCCTCTAGTTAATTCTGAGTCCATACATAGACTTCAGAACAGGAAAGCACAAGTGAAGGTGTTGGAATTTGTATAGGAGGATTTTTTTGGTTTTGTTTATTTTATTTTTTTAAGACAGGGTCTCACAGTGTAGCCTTAGGTGGCCTGGAACTCAGAGACCTGCTTGCCTCTGCCTCCCAAGTGCCGGGATTAAAGACATCCATCATAACACCTGGCCAAAGAATTGTTTTATGAGGTACAGAAGGTTAACATCTTTACGTTTGAGATTGAGGGATTGTTTTGGTAGGGAGTTTATATACTGGAAATGTTCTTTAGCATGTAGCACTTTTAAGTATAGGGCAGTTAAAGGAGGAACAAGGAAGAGAGAAGAGGAAATTTTCAGTTCACTTATAGTTTGTATACTGCCTATGTGTTGTTTCAAATAAAATACCAAAAAATGTAACAGTGACTCAATGGTTATTTATCACAGGTGTAAACAGTTTCTCTAATTTATGGGTCATATTCCCAGGTAATCCCAGGGGCAAAAACATGTTGCTTAAGTATTTTCTGTTTGATTTATAACAGGTTAACACAAGAGCCTAAAACAACACAAAATTTTATTATGCTATCATTTTAGAAATCAGGAGTCGAGGTTTGGTATCAGCAGGCTGAAACCAAGTTGTCAGCAAAGCTGCAATCTTTGATGTTCTAAGGATAGAATTAGTCATGTTCTCTCTCGTTGAGGCTGCCCACAGTCTTTGGCACTTAGCCTCATTTCTGAATCTTCAAAGTCAGCGATGTTGGGCTGAGTTCTTCACAAAGAAACAGCTGGTTCTTTCTCTGTGTTTTCCACTTTTAAGAAGCATTATGGTTAGGCCAGGCCCATCTAGATAATCCATGATAGCACTGTTCAGATCAGAAACCTAAGTTACCACTGCCTGTAACATTTGCTACCAGTGATTAGGATGAGGACATCTTTTTTTTTTTTTTTAAATATTTATTTATTTATTATGTATACAGCATGTATCCCTGCAGGCCAGAAGAGGGCACCAGATCTCATTACAGATGGTTGTGAGCCACCATGTGGTTGCTGGGAATTGAACTCAGGACCTCTGGAAGAGCAGTCAGTGCTCTTAACCTCTGAGCCATCTCTCCAGCCCCAGGATGAGGACATCTTATGTGATTCTCTACCTTCCATACATGGCCAATAAAAGTGAAGGAAACACAACACAAAGGCTGAGTGCCTTAGACTGATGAAGTACAATTTGGGTCGTTAATACCCTGTTAAGACATCAATGCTGCTGAGAGTTGTTTTTTGAAGAACAGAGAAAGATAATAAGGTAACTAAAGAACTAAAGAAAGGTAACTAAAGAACTCAGACCATAACATGAATTAGAAAAAATAAGGATTATAACTACTTTGTGTATTCCTATTATATCCAGCAGTTATCTGTATATATTTATTTTTTATCACTTTTAGTATTCTATCTAGTTCCTATTTTTGAGTTTATGCACAAGTTTATTGTAGGTTAACTTTTCTATTATTTAGGTAACAGTATATTCATTGGTAGCCTGACTGAATTTGGGGAAGACTTTTAGAGCACCCTGATGATTACAATGGGCTTGAGAGTCTTTAACTCATCAAATCTTGGAGGAATGAGAACCTCAAGAACAGGAAGAATTGGTGGATTCAATTAGGTAGAATGATTTTGCTGCAAAGACATTTGACTGTGCGCCAGGTGAATATGGAAGCTGACTAGCGAAGGGTATGGGAAAGGCTAGGTATCATGTATTGCTCCTTGGCTTCAAGTATACCCTTAGTACATTCTCAGAAACAATGGACAATAATTTTAATTAATCACAGTAAGCATGTTCAGTTTCTTGATATAAGGATCTCAACTATACTGTAAGTGCAAGGGGACTTCTCTTGCTGTTCCCAGGTTATGATGGGCTGGTTGTATAGGTGTGACAATATCTGGTGGTACACTATTTCCAGCTACAAACCCAGAATGTGAGGTCCTTGGTGCCCTGTAAAGCTCCAGCCTGACCTTGGAATCATTCCCCTGCTATATTTTCACGGATACCATATACTCACAGGCCCTGACTTGCAATAGTTGCCATCCAGATGGGAGTATGGAATAATTTGGGCTTCCTGATATATTAGCATCCCTTGTCACTGGCTATGACTTTATGGTTTGCCATTGGTTTTAACCTCGCTTGTGCCTTTGAGGATTGC